TATATATATGAAGCGTGATATTTCATCAATAATATTGATATTTTTCCAGGATTTCAATAAATATTCTAAGTTAACGTAAGTGAGCTACTTATATACTTAGTTTGCTGAAAGATTTTATTATTGATGATGAATAGGTGGTGAATGTTGTCTACTTTTTTCTGTAGTTGTAGGGATGATCATGTAGTTTACTTCTTTAATTGATTAATGGGACTCCTGGTTAGTAATATTAAACCACCTTTCCTTATTTGACGTAAATTCAACTTGCTCTTAGTGTAGTTTTTGTGTTGCTGGATTCTAAGGCACATTTTAGGATAAGTCTTCATGACTGAGATTGTTACCAGTACTTTTTCATTTTGTTACTATTCCGCTCTGGTTTTGTTTGTATTGGCCTCATAGACTAGGTTAATGTGTTTTCTTTATCTTTTGTTTGGTGAATGTTTACACAAATTTGAAATGATCTATTTTTTAAAACCTTGGTAAATCATATGGGCCTGTTTTTTTGTTTTTGTTTTTTCTAACTCCTTCAATTCCCTACATGGTATAAGATTGTTTAGGCCTCTCCACCTTAGATTTAGTGTTGGTAAAACATCTTTTCTAAGAATTTGCTGCAAAATTATGTATAATCCCTTCAATCTCTTAGTGAATCTGTAACCATGGCCCCCTTTTTGTTATAAGTATCTTTTTTTCCTTGATAAAATTGTTAATAAAAAAATTGTCATATTCCCCACCCTCCAGGAAGAGGACCCCCTCCCCACAAGGGATCTTATCCAGAAAGGAAACCAAAGTTGAGTTTATTTATTTAGTGGCCAAAGAAAGGAGTACTGTCTTAGCTCGCAAATCAACCTCTTTACTCACTTAGGGTTGACAGGTTGTAGACACAGATTGGCAGAAATGAAGGGAAACTGTAGGTTAAATAGAAGAATATTCATGTCTTTTCCTAGAATGGGTGGACATTTCTTGGAATTCATTTGCTACCTCTTTTTCTTCCTTTTATGGTTTGATGATTATTGTTTTGTTTTGTTTTGTTTTTTTCATTTGTTTTGATAGCAGGGATCAAACTTGGGAGCCCTTGAGCTTTCGAGGCAGGTGGCACAAGCGGTGGAACCACTAGGCTAAATCCCTGGCCCTTGATGATTATTGATTGTTAGGGTGGCTGGTGGTTATGTCATTTAGCATGGAAATTAGACAGTAATGAAGTTAGAGGCTGAGTGGCATTTACTCTGGCAGCCATCTTAGATCCAACCGGTTTTGGCTAACCTACCTGAAGAAGAGCTTTTGACCTTCAGACATCTGTCCTAAAAGGTAAACAAGATTAGGGTGAGGTAGAAACTCACTTAGGCAGTACACTGGATAAAAGAACTTGACAGAGGATTTATCAACTTTATTAGTCTTTTCAAAGAACCAATGTTTTGTTAATGTTCTCTATTGTATGTCTGGTTTTCATTTCAATGGTTTCTGGTTTTTATCATTACCATCATTCTACTTTGGGTACATTCAGTTTTTGGCTCCAATCCCCTCCTCACCAAGTTCTTAGGATCTGTAATAAGCAAATTAATTTTCTGCCTTCTTTTCCAGTGTAAGTATTTTTTAAAAAGAAATTTCTCTGTATATATCTAGTACTTTTATTTCATTCCACAAATTTTGACATTTAATATTTTTATAATTGTTTAGTTCTAGGAGTTTTTAGAGTATGAGTTCTTTTTTAATCTGTGAGATGTTTAGACATCTACAGTTTAAAAGTGTGTCATTTAAAAGAATGTTATTTTCTAAATATACATGGATTTTAGGGCTGGGATTTAGCTCAGTGGTTCCACTGCCTGCCTTGCAAGCACAAGGACTCGAGTTAAATCCCCGGTACCAAAAAAAAAAAAAAAAAAAAAAAAAAATAAAATGACTTTTTATTATTGATTTCTAATTAATTGCAGCTTGGTCTGAGAACATAGTCTGTGACAGGCCTTTTTGAAATCTTTTTGTGTTCTGTGTGACATGATTTGTGGTCATTATTGTAAAGGAAACATGGAATATTGTCATGTGACTTATCATTTGGCTTTTTCTACCTGGTGGATTTACTGAGAATGGAAATTTGATTATTTTAACTATATTACTGTATTATTAGGACTTGAAAGTTCTTGTATAGAATTTTATATCGTTATTCTCAGCTTCACATTAAAGTTTTCTTATATAAAACAAGCTTGAAGACCTCTTTTTAAACACAGCTTTAATTCAGAGTAATGAAAAAGTCCCTTAAGGAAAACTCTTCCTCTAAGGGAAGTAAGAACCTCAATGTCTTATTGTGAAAGAATTAAAAAAGTCTGTACTGTTGGTTTTTTGGTTTTTTGGTTTTTTGAGACAGGGTCTCACTATGTAGTTGAGACTGACCTGGAACTCACTATGTAGTCCAGGCTGGTCTCGACTGTTTTTTTAAACAAGAAGATAATTCTATTGTGGTGGGGAAATCTAATGAAGATAAAACTCCTCTTTTTTTATTTTCTTCATAACTCAAGTTGGTTGGTCAGATTTAGGAACCTAGTTATTTTAAATAAGAGGAATATACATGGGGAAAGAGGCAAGTTTGTATAGGCTACTGATCCCAGCTATAGTCAGTGAAATGTGTCAGTGGTTCTGCTCTGACTTGTTTTATGCTTTCCTTTGCTTGTTTTCATAGGTAGAAGAAGTGAAAAAGCACCAGCACTGTTTAGCCTTTAGCTCCTCTGGACCTCAAAGTCAGACTTACTACATTTGCTTTGATACTTTCACAGAGTATTTAAGGTGGCTACGGCAAGTTTCCAAGGTAAGCACTTTACCCAATAATCTGTTCAGTTTCTAGCTGGCTGCAAAGTTGCCTTTTGTTTCACCAATTTCAAAATACTACAGTTATGTACATGTTTCTTTTTTCCATATATTACCAGTAGTTAGAAGTTTTTAACAGATAATTCTCACTGGAAAATAGCTTTTTAAATATGGTTTTATATTTGCCACTTTTTATTTAAATTTAAAATTCAGTCTGGCATCACTTTTAGTGTTCTCGAGTAAAAAATTGCGATTGAAAGTTTTTAAGGGACTGGTCAGGGCAGGACAATTCAAAACTACAGAATACCCAGAGAATTGTTATAAATTTTCCCTTTTTTTCTGACTATATTTTTAAATGAACATTCTAATCCTGTGCCATCTTTTACCTTTATTCTGATTTTTAAGTGTTTTTTTTTTTTTTTTTTTTTTGACCTTTTTTTAGGCCCCTGTTTACACATATCTTGACCATTTTGTAGGCCCCTGATTACACAAGATTATCACGTTCCATGCACTGCATCTTTGGGTGTGTGTAGTAGAAACTATAATATCATTATAAATAAGATGAACAAGTGCTGACTTTTCAGGTACTGTATGAGAAGATGTTTTTACATCTCATTTGTTATGTGTGATGTGATGGAGTGAATTCCAGTATTTAATGCCTTGGTTTTGAGTGTATTTTGGAAATGATGAGATCTCTCTGGGGTTCAGGAACAGCACAACAGAGTTCACTTTTGTATTTTTGAATTTACAATTAAAGTTGTTATCCAAGTTCAGTATGATTCATACTGCTTTGTTATATAATTGTCAAGGGATTGAGTAAAAGAATAACTTTGTAAAACAGTCAGCAGAAAACTAGAGAATAATGGCTAGAAAGTCTTCTTACAGTACTGGCTACATTTGAATTATTAGGCTATAAACTGTTTTCTGGTGATGTGATATTATTTAAGAACATTAATTTCTCCTTGTTCTAGAGAAGAGACAGTAGACAGGGTTTTGGAAGATAGGCTTCAGATTCTCTTTAATAGGCAAATGGATGCTCTGATGCAGTGATGGCGAATCGTTTAGAGTCCAAATGCCCAGACTGCAAACCCAAACCCACTTATTTATCTCCAAGTGCCAACACTGCAATCAAGCCTGAATGCTTGGCTGTGGGATGATTTGACTCGTGTGCCAACAGAGAGGGCTCTGTGTGCTCACACGTGCCATAAGTTTGCCACCACTGCTCTAATTAATTGGGCTCTATTTAATTGCGCCCATACAGGTGAAAAAGGAAAGACTAGACTTTTTCGGTCTTGCATGTGGAATTAATGTGATATAAGAGAAGATGCATCTGTCTAGTTCTAAAATTACTCCTGTGGTTGCAAATAATGAGAATATAAATATTAAATAATATATATTAAGTGTTTTGTGTATTAAATGTTTTGCTTTTGTGTGTATTTATGTTCATATTTAATTGGTTGTATGGGTTCTAAGCAATAACTCAGTTGTTGACACTGTGCTTTATTCAGAATAAAGTTCTAAAACATTGTGCAGCAGATTTCTTGCTATACAAAGATACTGATTTTTAAATAAAATTGTATTTACCTGGGCCAGGGATTTATCTCAGTGGTGCCAGTACCTGCCTTGCAAGCACAAGGACCCAAGTTTGATTCCTCGTACTCCCCCCCAAAATTGTATCTATCTTGGAATAATTTTACATTTACACACATGTTACAAAGAGTACAGAGTTGCCATACATATTTCATTCAGTTTCTCAAACATTGCCACGATAAGTTTTTCAAAATTAAGAAATCCAATATGACTAGTACATCATGCTAACCTTCAGACTTCATTTGCATGTTAGTAGTTGTTCCATAGTTGCCTGTGTGCTGCAGGTTGTTACCTAAGATACATTGGTCATATCTGCCTTGTTCCCTGTGGACTGTGCCAGTTTCTGTGTTTTTCATGACCTTGACAGTTTTCAGAATACTGGTGGGGAATTTTATAGAATATCCTGTATGGAGCTGGGGATAATAATCCTTTTTTTGTTGTTGTTCTGGGGATCAAACTCAGGATTTTGCGCTTGGAGAGCAGGCGTCCTAGGAAAACCCTCTACCCTTGAGCTCTGTATCTTCAGGTACATTCTTTTAAAAACAAATCAGAGATACAAAAATTTTTTTTTTTTTTTTGGTACCAGGGAATGAACTCAGGACCTTGTACTTGCGAGGCAGACGGTATAACCACTGAGCTAAATTCCCAGGCCCTGGAGATAAAGATGTAAATAAAAGTATATGTAAATTATGAAGCATACTATAGGATATTATTTTGATTGAAACAATAATAACAAAAAGATGAGTAGTTTCTTATGTTAATTAGGAAGTTAACTGTTTCAAATCTAGTAGGCATTTACTAAGCACCTTCTATTTGTCAAGTCTGTGTTTTATGCACTGGATATAACAAAAAAACAAGTTCAGTTCCCCATTCTTGGTAGGGTTTACACTAGGGAAGAGAGATTATAAATAAGTAAATAGACAAGAAAGACGTAGGATAGCAATTTTAAGGTTTATGACAGAGAGTAGTGCAGAAAGGATAACATCAAGGAGAGGCCCTTTAAACTGAAGCTTCAATGAAAGAAGTGTGTGATTATTTGAAGATTTGATTGGAAGAACTTTCCAGACAGAGAGTAAAGATGGTGAAGACTGTAAAACTGCAGTGAGCTTGTATTTGAGGTTTGGAAGTAAGATAGGCAACATTCTTGTGTTATAGAAAAGGATGCATGAATTTTATTTAATATAATGACAAACCATTAAGGAGCTTTCTTGTGGAAAGTTACATGATCTCATATGTGGTAACTAGGTTGTAGAGGACAGAAACAAAAACAGGAAGACCTGAACTACAAGGCTTCTCTGGTTAGTCTAGGCAGGAGATGAGCACAGCTTTGTAGTAAAAGTAGAGGAACATGCATAAATGTTTTGGAATGTGCTTTGGAGACTGACAGGTTCACTGATAAATTGCATATAGTATGTGAGGAAAAGGAAGAAATAAAGAAAGGCTTTTTCTTTACTTTTAATTGGTAGAGTATAGCCTCAGCAGAAACTGTGGTACTATACTTTGTGTATTTGTACCTTTAAAGTGATAGCAGAATACAATTTTGGACTTGAGAGAGCTTCTTTTCCAGGAGGACATAAAGACAAAATACAAGAGGTAGACTGTCTCTTAAGTTGGCCCTGAAAATGTTGATTTCTGACTTGGAGGTGATTGTAAATGTCAAATGTTAGTTTGGTTAGTACTCTTTCCTATTCTTTGCCATCTCTGTGGTCCAATAATACAATGTATCTGTAATAAACCTCTCACACTGATTACTTGAATCATGAACACATTTAAACATCACACCTCTTCCAGTAGGAGATGGTGGCAGATAGTGGGAAAATTGTTGCATGGGAGACATGATGATGGCAAATGGGGATAGTGGTATTTCTGCTGCTGTACTTTCCCTTTTCAATGATTATTGTACCTCCATTGGAGAATGTTTGTTATCTAGGTGTTGAAATGTAGTGCAAGTTATTCGTATCCATAGAAATATACAACATGTACATATATAGCATACATTCTATGCTTGAAAGTACAAATATTTTAAATTAATTGAAATGAGAAATGTAGCCACTCTTTAGAAGGCATCGAATGTTTGGAGAAGCTGTGTAGTGGTACAGAGTGTAAGTAAAATAAGGCAGCCATGGATTCTACCATTTGCAGGTTAATATGGCTGCATCCAGGTTTTTCAAATTTGAAGCTTTTTCATCTGAAAACAGAATACTAATAATTGTTACCAAAAAAAAAATTCTTACCAACTAGGCTTTTATGAAATTTGCATGTCATAATGAACTAACAATACCCCATAGTAAGAAAGTAAGTAGATGTTGTGTATGTATGTGAATTAATGACCAAAGAAATAAATAAATAAATTTTACTTACCCTTGCCATCATCATTTATTGATCAGACAACCTTTTTAAAGTAGTATATATTTGTATGGTTATTTTCAATAGATAAGGACAACATGTGTTTAGTTTATCTGAGCAAGGTACCTTCTGATGCTCTTAACAACCACAGCAGTCTTTCAGGGAAAGTAATAATTTTTCTCCTGAAAAGACAGGGATGAGGATCAGAAGACAAAATATTTTAGTAAATACAGATTTTAAATATTTTCCTTTCTCCAATCTTAAAAACTAGATATATATTTCAAAAGCTTTTAGAAGGGGTATACATATAGCTTAGTGGTAGAGCACTTGCCCAACATGTGTCTGGTCCTGGTTGCCATCCGCATCACTTCAAAATAAAATATAAGTTTTTGTAATTTATGAATTAAAGAGCAAATGAGCTGTACGGGGCTGACTAAAGATACCAAATACTGTAGAAGAAATGAGTGAAGGAATTCCCCATTTGGGTAGGAATTCTGTATAAAAATAAGGGCATACCTCTCTTTAAATTTAGGATTTTTTTTTTTTTTTGTACTGGCGTTTGAACTCAGCAGGCAGTGGAACCACAGAGCTAAATCCCCAGCCCACTAAAATTAGGATGTTGAGGGTGATTTTATGAAAATATCTTCCAGGAACAGTCAGTTGGGGCTGCTGAACAGAAAGGCAAAGTCGTGGACTGTTAGGAAGGTATAAGCTTACAGAAAATACAAAGTAAATACAGCTGATTGTTATAAGCCTCTTCTACTTTTAGTCTCCTCTTCTAGTTGTCATTTACTTTTCCTCATATATAGGTACTTGGGAAGTTATATAATTTAATCATAAGGTTGCTATGGAAACTTTATTTTTCATATCAAGAAACATTACAGATTATCTTTATATTCTGATATTTAAATGATTCATTTTGATAAGGATCTGAAAGAAAAACTTATTTTAAAAAAACCCAAAATCTGAGTTTCTAATTGTTTGTTTGTTTTTGGTACCAGCAACCTGCCAGGCAGGTGCAGCACTGAGCTAAATCCCTGGCCCTGAGTTTCTAATTTTTAATGA